AATGCACGACTTTTTGATTTCATCTCTAAATCATAACTAAAATAACTAATTTAGATTAAGATCTTTTTTCATAAATTTGCATAAATTCGAAGTTAGAGAAAACTAAAGCTACGAGTAGTAGTCGTCAGAGCGGTGGTAAAACTAAGTCTAACAAATTATAGTTAAAAATTAGATTTATTTCTTTCCTTTTAGGGGCCAGATATCGTTACCCTTGTCTCCCCGCGCAGTTGGTCGAGGAAACCGAAAATCTAAATACCCTTATCGTCAACAAAGACAAAAAGATCTCTGCACGATGTTAAATTAGCATGCACAATGCCCTGATTTTCCCTCTCCATTATCCAACCACGGGTTTCTCTACGATACATAACGAAATTTCTTTTCTCGCTTAACGAATTACTCGCACTGATTTCGATGCAGATCGATCGCATGCAAACATTTGTACCTTGTCTACCATGTTTCTGTAATCGCAGTTATTCTTGCAAATAAAGCTTACCGATCGTTCCAACCGATTTGTTTCCGAGTTTTATTGACGTGAACAATACTTTATATGTGCAGCAACGATTCGACGAAATGGAAGCCAAAATTAACGATCTGCGAGACCAAGTAGAGGCCATCAAGGCTGAGAAGACTCGCTTGGAGAAGCAGATTGAAGTCGAATCGGAGGTAATTCTCTTCATACCACGACCCTGCTTGAAACTAGCTTATAAAACTATTGTCCGTTCATTAGCGCGTTGTTTAGGAACTCCCGGAATTGAATCTGTGATTACTCGGTTATTTAAACTAATCAGAGAAACTTCTAAATATTTTGTTTCTATAATTTCTTATAATATTCTTATTTCAAAATTTCTGTTAAAATTCATTTTTACTTTTGCATTTGATAATTAGTTATTTTATCCAGACACCTTTTAATGGAGCGATTGAGATAGTTCTAATCATTATTAATCAACTTCCACAGTAAGTGGGAGTCGGTATAGCTGTACTTCGGACTTCCCTCTGTACAGCGCCTACGCTAGATCTCATTACACTGACTCCGTTTTTCCCTTTGAGTTCGTTGAACGCAACTATCATTTGCATGCTCAAGCCAAATCTACAGAATCTTTTTCTTGCAACTATATAATAAAAACGATAAAGAATTGTTTAATTTGCATTTAAATGGTAAATTGCTTCTATTAAATCCGAGAATTATTTTTTTTCCATAGGAACTGCAAGGGCGACTTCAGGAGAGGGAACAGAAAATAGAAGTGTTGGAAATCGAGAAGCAGACAATAAAGGAGCAGCTCCAGGACAAGATGAAGGAGCTGGACGAATTGAAGGAAACCGCGAAAAACGAAGTCGAGGATTCTACTTGCCGGGAGGACCTCCTCCGTGAGATACAGAATCGTGACGCGGAGATCGAAGAGAAGAATCGTAAGATCGAGCAGCTGTCGAAGGAGTTGCAAGTGAAGACACAGAACCTGCAGAAGCTGGTGAATACGGAGCTGTGGAGCAAAAACAAGGAGATCGCGAAGCTGCACAATCACATGACCGCTGCCTCTCACTGTCACGAAAGGAGCCGAAACAAGTCGGACGTGATGCAAGAAAGCGCGAGCGCGCAGCTATCGAGCCTGATCAAAGAGCTGAACGACATTGGCATCAAGGTGATGTTTACTAATGAGGTGATCCAACTGAACTACGTCGACGGGAACGAGCCCATAGACGTAAAAACGATGACGGGCTATGTACAGAAGCTGGTGGCGCAGAAAAATGACCTCGAGAAGGAAGTCGATTACCTAAAGTGGCTGAAGCTCGTCTCGAAACCAGACATCGCGACGGAGATTGATGGATATGGTGATGACCAAACGGAAAAAGCTAAGAAGTACTGCGAGCTGTTGCGCACGCATTTGAAGGATTTGGTGAAATTCATGAAGGAGATGCTGAAGAACGTGGACTACGCGGACACCATCGGTAACGAACGCAGGAAGATCGTGTTCGACGTTCTGATGAGCTCGAAGATACTGTCCGACGATTTCGTAAACGCGCTCGAAGGGATTTCGATGAACGACTTGGCGTTTATGACCGACGAGATCAACGCGAGATCTATGAACAGTTCGGTGAAGAAGAGCCGGTCTGACAATCTGCTCGGCGGCGCGATAAATCAAGGGTCCACGCAATCCGACTCGGAGGCGTTCTCCGAACCGGATAGAACCGTTTCGATGGCTAGAATCGGACTACAGGAGACGCAACAGAAATCTCTGAACCGAGCCAGATTTTCCAAGTACACTAAAACGTTCACGGATTCCGAAGATTCGCTGGAATATGTGCCTTATCATAAAACTTATCAAAACGACCTGAACGATTCTGAGGCTAATCATCAGATACAGGAGATCAAGGAAACGAACGCTCTCCTGTACACGGAGCTCAGTGCCCTTAGAAACGAGTTGACGGCTAAAATTTCCATCGATTGCGTAAGCATATTTTAATTGTACTTCATTATTAAATCATTTGATATATTTTTTTAAAATCTCATATCGTTTTTCGTAATTTACAGACGTTAGACGAGAAAATAACGCCGTTGATTGTTAAACTGGAAAAATCGCAGAAATTCTGCGAGAGGTTGCAATCAGCCTTAGATAGAAGAGTACACGAAGTCCACGCGTTGAAGAAAGAAAATAAACAAAACTGTGCACGTAGAATGCAGTTGGAGAAGAAACTGGCCGACTTAGAGAACATGGCAACGGAGATGAATAAGCAAAAGGCTGACTTGGCGCATTACAAGGAAGACGCTGAAAGAAAAACTGCTGAAATGCTAATAACGCTCAACAGAGAAAATGATACGGTAACAAACTATCTTTTAATTAGTATACTAAGTTTTTACGATTCCCTATTTTTTTTTAATGCTTGCTCTCTCGTTTACAGTTGCGAACGCGAATTAAGAAACTGGAAGACGAAAACGAGGCCGCGAAAGCAAACATATCGACGTTAACGAAAGAGCTCGACCACCTGACTCTTTCGCACAGCCAAATCCTCGTGGAGAACACGAAATTAACGAATGATAAATTGCGTTTGGAGCAAGAAATAAGGAAAACGGAGAGCAGATGCGATATAACTGTTCGCTCCATGCACGATAAATTCAACAAAGAGGTAAGACCTCAGGCATTTGATATTGAAATGTAATATTAAAATTTAAAGTCACGTTTCATAAATATATTTGTATAATACTCTTGTAGATATCAGATTTGAATCAAATCAACGAGTCGCAAAGAGCAAGGCTACAGGAATTAGAGGTGATGAACAAAGAACTTCGAAGGCATGTTGCGATTTGCGAAGCAAGCGATTCAGCGCCAAGTTCCAGTGGTGTTTCCTCGATACCAGCTGATACTTTGCTGAAGCAAACTTGCGAGGATATTATGCAAGAATATCAGGCATACAATGTTAGTTAATCTTTTTTCTTCAGCACATCTCTTTGGTAATATTTAAACAATTTTTAGATTTACATTGAAATGTATTGATTTCAGAATTTACAGTACTGGGTGCCAATAAGTTACTCAACGCTCGGTGGACGCAGTAAATCAAGTTGTTCGCCAGATTTAGGAATCGAGAGTGATGCAGCTGTTTCTACTTTGAGGCCATTGAAAGATACTTTGAAAATTACTGAATCCATGACTAATTTGTTGAGCGACGAAGATGCTAACAATGGTAATAGGCCAGTTCGAGAGGTCGACAGCGAAAGTCCGTTGCCGATAGAAGGTAAATCAACTTGGATCTATATGTGTGTGTGTGTGTGTGCATATGTATATTACCAAATAAGAATGTATTATAATACTTCTTCGTTGCTTTATCAGGTCTCGATGAAGTGGAAGCTTTGAAACAGGAGAACGAAACGTTAAAGAGAAGATTGATGAAAACAAGAAGGGCATTGGAAGATACGTTCCAACATCTTTCAGCGTCGAATAAGAACAAGAAGAACGTCGAGAAGGCGATAACAAAACAATTACAGATCACCAAGAGTATATTGAAGAAAACTAGGACGTATGAGGAACCGTTGGACAACTGATGGTGTTGATGGAAATCTCGAACAGAATGCCATCGTGTACGGGGAAGAGAAACAAAATATAAAGTTGCTGTCCGTTTCAGATTTTTAAAAGCTGACATTATCATTTATATTTTTATAATCTCTTCTTTACTATATTTCTGTCTTTTACACGCTGTTTGATTGATTTTAAATCTCGAACAATTGTTGATAAACTAAAAGCTATATTTTTACAAATTGATGATGAACCGACAGCGGCGCTTGTTGCATCTTGTAAAAACTGTCAAAAAGTATTTTCATACATCTCACGAAACATTGTACGAAGAGAGCAAGAAATTAATATAGACACAAAGATGAAAAGAAAGAAAGCTTCGTTGAATGAAACGGAGATGAACATGTGAATTTTGTACATAATTGTGTATGTGTATTAGAGTTCTTTTGTAGATTGTTTATTTTCTCTCTCTCTCTCTCTCTTTCTCTCCAAAGGTTATTGCAACCTTGTCATCGAATCGAAAACTGTCCATTTTATCGTACTTCGTTCTCTCGACGATCAGAAATTCGCGCGCGTGTACATATAAACACCGAGAATATCATCACACAGCATCTGTACATAGTCTTCGCAAATAAAGTGCCATTGATATTTCACAAAATGTGTCGTAATTAAAAAAAGAAAGAAACATCTTTCCTACTATCTCCTAATCATTTATTGTGCTATCTTTTGTATATCCTATTTTAATAAATAAAAGCAGCAGCCGACTTTTGTCATTTATAATTAGAATATAATTATATCGAAGACTGATCATCGTTTTGCAAAACATAAAATGCAAAATGTATAATACATAACAAGAGAACAATAAGAGGTAGTAATAAAAACATCGATCAGTAGTCCATGTCCATACGGAGTAATCCGTAAAATAGACTTATTACATGCATGTTTCAGGCGAATGTAGATTGTTTCACCACGTTTACAAAAGAAAAAATTCGTGTAAAATTAATATCATAGCGGATTAACATAAAAAGTTCGAAACAAAGTACAGCTTGGTATAGATTACGATAGAATTTTTATTATCACTCGATGACTAGATAATAATATAAAGATCCGTAGTAACTCGTGTCGATGAAGTTATGAACTGGGCTAGTTACGCGAATCTTTCCTTCGCCCTGTTTCCTTTTTTTACGGAAGTCGACCAGGAGCATGTGTTCGACCTTCGTAACTGTACAACGTTCAATTCTCATATCCGACGAGAACTTATCATAACTTCTTTCTGTTCCCTTCTCTCCCTTTTTTTTTTACTTCGTTTCATGGAATTCTCGCGGGTAAAACGATCGGAGATGACGTATATACAATTCTACAGTGATATAATTTTCCTTCTGTCTCGATCCTTGTCGCGTGATACGCGCTACACGTGTCTCAAATTACTATGCCCCTCGAATAATACAAGGCAGACACAGGGTAATCGGAAAACGAATGGAAGCTTCTTCAGCGAGTCATGTTTCCTTGCTGCTCATACATGATACTTAAACGTAAACGTGTATGCCTCGTATTATTTCGCACGCGAACGAAGTTATGAGGCTACCGCCGATCAATTGAATCCGTCGTTTTTGATTATCGGTTATCTATAAATCTAGGCATGCTTTCGCGAATATGTATCTCGTGTGGACATATACAATTTATACATAACCGCGCACACTACCTATGTGTTGAGACGAGGGTACAATTGACATCGTAATGACTTTGATTATTTAAAGATCAGGTTAACACCTTACGGACAGAGAGACAGCGACGAACGTCGTTGCGTTTAAAAAAGGAGCAGCAATCGATGTGGTCGCTCATCAAATTGTGCATTTAAATACACGATAGTGCGACGTACGAAAGAAACAACGATGGTTACCTTTCGCGTTTAGAAAAGTTTCACCTAACAGTAAGTAAATTTACAGCCCCGTCCGTAAAGCGTTAATAGTGCGGATAAACGTTCGTTCAAATCGGATCGATTGATCAAAATACTCACTTTCCGATGTTGCGAATCGACAAAACGTGCCGCGGACCACGTCAAAGGTATAATCCACTGATGCTCGGTTTCACCAACGATGAACAAACATGCACAAGGTAAATCATCGACCCGGCGTTCGATTCAACGAGGCCATGTTTGTTCGATCTCGCGCAAGCCGGCGGAACCGAGTCGCGATCATTTAATAACAATTTAGAGGTTACAATGGTAACAATGGGGAAAAAGGACTTACTTTCGTGCGACAATGGCATCATCGTTGAAACAAAATATCCTCGAGCCACTTCGTGAATATTCCTCCTTACTCGCGGAACAAATTTAAATACGTGTACAGTTGAAGTTGCATATTCTGGTCACACAGAAATTTGTCTCGAAAATCGAATGATTCACCGCTGCATATCGACAAATCACACTGACTCGACTTTATGTAAAACGTTTCGAAAATACGCGCGGCGTATTCAATATTCATTAACGGGGGAAAGTGGAGTGCGTAAAAAGAATGTTTACAGTGCTTAATCAACCGGTCTTGTACAATTCGATGTTACGTCTCGAATAAAAAATAATCAAATCAAAGTCAGTAAAACCGCGTTCAGGAAGAATGTCAATCTATCAAGTATTGATTTCGGAAGAATTTAATCGGTGCTTCAGAGTTCGATCCTGTTTTCGAATTTCATTTTCGCGGACGGCGTCGCTCCTGTAGAGATCGCTGTACGCCAATCCTCTCGCCATTTCTTAGTTCCCTATCACTCTTTTACCCTTCCTTACTGCAGTTACGATAAAATCTAATCTGAACTATTTACAATGAGTGACACCTGAAAGTTCTAGGGTCACATAAGCGCGGAGTACCACAGAAACGTGTCCTGCGATGCTCACGAGCGAGACGATACATTCCACGAAGGACGACCGCAATTTCGTTCTTCGATCTTAACCAGTACCTACCATGATAACGATTTGTAATTAGAATTCGAAGGCGAATCTGTTTACGAGAACGATCGTCCTTCCGGGATCACGCCGGGCCGAGTGAACACCGACAGTCTCGCGACACGCCTACGAACTACCCTCTAGATTTTTGTTTCTTTACTCGACAATAAAACTCCATAGTATCGGGAAAAATGAGGAACTTGTACATAAATATATTTAGATTAATCATACCTATCGAATGCGTTATCGTACGTGCGCTATAAATGTAACGTTTATACGACAGCGCCGTATGGCATCATTCCGATGATGGGAAACCCGCTGGGACGGTGCAGAGTACAGTGTGGAATGACTCTCTCTCTCTCTCTCTCTCTTTCTCTCTTTCGCTCTATCTTTTCTTTCTGGTTCGAGACGGTGCTCGATCGTCAGTGTTCGATCGAGTTCCGTTCGCGGATGGATCCGTTGGCGATGTACACGTAAACACATACACAAAATGATCCTCTCCAGTTCGACGACGATCGACGAAGTAGGACAGTCTGGTCCGACGAAGAGCTTAAGCTTACAACCGAGTCCCGGTCTCATCGGGATGGGGACGTCAGGTGAACGCCTTGCGCCGATCCGTTCTTACGAACGGTGCTTGGCAACGCGTCAATTTGCCGGGTTATGTGGCGTAGTGGGAATGGTGGTGAGCGTGCGGAGGTGGTGGTTCACCGAGCCATGAATCGGGCGAGGGCGGAAAGTCCGGGTAACCACCTCCGCCGCCGCCTCCGCCGCCTCCACCGCCGCCGCTCGATTCGTTGCTCAAATCTGACGCTGGTCCTGGTACCATGCCGCTTCCGCCTCCTGCAACATTCATTTCCGAATTGTTCCGATTCCAGTTCTGTTTGTCTGGGAACCAATTATAGCTTCGCTCGTGTTCATTTCTGTAAAACGCTTATGTTTGTATGAGCCTTTAAATAAGAACAACAAGTAAGCATTTACAGTTGAATAGTTATTAGTACATAAATAAATTTTACGCATTTATGAAAGAATTGAGTGCTGCAAGTATGGACGTTGCAGGTATAATATTATAAAAAATATAAAAAACATTGCAGAGGAAACTGCAATCTGAAATGCAGTTTTTTAACCGACCACTATGAATTTGCTATTTTGCATAAAAATTCGCCTAATTATTAGATGTTATAATAATAACACACTATGTCACTAGAGGTTTTGAGGAACTATAAAAAAGTTATAGGCAACTATTGTTATAGATGAGATTACGAGCCTGCAACAAAAGCTTAAATCTGAATGACAATGGCTAATTAAATGTTTGCTTACCGAGGGTGGTGTAAACGGAAAGGCCAGTATCCGGTGGATACGGGAATTGAGGTGGTAAGGACGGCGATCTGGACGTTGAAAGATAAGGGGGAGTCGTTGCACCCAAATAACCACGTGGAGGGCCTCCGCCTGTCCCATTTCCACCCCCACCTGGACTCGCACCTTCACCCTCTAATCCCATGTTCACCACCGTGCCGTAACTGTCGTTACTCAAATCTGAGTGCAAATATTTCTTCATTATGTTTCGCCTTACTTATAATATTTTCTAACAGGGATAGTAAATTAAACAATTACTGCAGGATAATAACAGAGCTAAGAAAGTTTTCACGTTATAGCGATATAATCGATGTACGTGCGACCGAAACAACTGCGTGACATGTCCGTTAGCCGGAGGGAAGACACTGGATAACGAAGTCGTTTAAAATTTAAACAATAGCTGAAGTTTACATGAGTTTATGGCGCGCGTGGTTAACGATAGGCATAAATTCCAGGATGGTCCGCAATCTTCCTGAAATCTCGGACACGGTGAACTAGCAGTTAGCCTCCACGGGCTGCTGAATAATTGACGAGATCGTCTTCCCCTCTGCTAAACGCTCCAGCACACGAAAGCTTACGTGTAACCAACATTAAAGAGAAAACAATAGAGGCGAAGAACGATCTTCCCACACTAACTAGGATTATTTAATTTTTCACAAAAACTGACAAATCTGTTTAAAGTATATTTCGCAAAATATTCATACCCGCTCTTTCGTATTAATATTAACAAGACGTAACGTGATTCTCGCGAATTAAAAATAATTTTATTTTCTCCTAACGTTGGGATTCACTCGGAGTTCTCTTTTAATATTAAAGGACGGCAAATGTTGGTTTTTAATAATGATATCTCTCGTTATATGGACGCGTTTGCCGATACCGCGCCGCTGCTTTTAACATTTTCTCGTTTCGCGAATCGAAGGGAATGCTTGTGCATACAGAGGGGAAGCTGCGTACATTTCGCGATATTGGAAGTACAAATAACGCGTTATTGGTCGCTTTTCAATGCCTGTTTCTAATAACGCAGCACAATTTTTTGGCCATACGGAGCCACAAAGAATTTTATCTCGTACAGAAAAACATCAATACCATCCCGCAGTGGAAAATACACAACCGGAAACGAATTATATTTTGTAATTACGTAGCTCTGTTGCAGTTAGTTTTGATACTGCATTAAAATTTGTTTTTTAATCGAAATTAACTGTGTTTATTTTATCATCTCAACTAAACGTGCTAAGTAAAGTATTTATTGTTAGTGTTACATACCATGATGACTGAAGGTGGAGTCTAAGTCGACTTTAAGTTCGTCTTTGTCAAGGAGTTTATCATGCCTTGGTGAATGTCCACCAGCCCCAGTCCCCTTCATACTTCGAAAATATTGGGACCATCTAGTTCTACCCGCATCTTTTTTCAGTCTCTTCTCTTTTGCTCTCCTGAGGACAAACGAAATAAAGAAGGAATTAATATTGTCTCAAATATTCTTTCAATGATCAACGTTCTGTTATTAATCATCGATTATGACATACTGAGTGAGCTTGTCGGATATACATATACATAGATATAGTATGTACGTAATCACTCTCTGCACTATGTACTAAATTATATTTAACCCTTTCGATTTGGCGTCGACGACTTTCAGATAAGATCCTTACGTCAATGTAACAATTTTATCTATCGAACACGCAGACTGTACACGAAGAATCATAGGTGGAAGTCTCTTCAGTTTCGTAGAACGGCTTTGTGAGAAGTGGTGTAGAATCAAAAAATTTTGCACGTGTGAACTTTTCTAATAATTACGATTATTTTATCGATAGCTATGTTCGTCGATAATAAAAAGGAGCGATAACGGTATACTTTGTCTGGACATTCTCAAAGTGCATGCTTTTCACATAAAGTCCAAAGATTATAGACTGTACGCTAACAGAACTGATAAAGCAATACTTTAAAATAAATTGTTACATTGTAGCTATATCATGATTTATACTATGTTCGATATCGAGTTGCGAAACTGTCAAGCTTTTCAATTCGAATCAAGGCCGTGCATAGTATACACTATTTGTAATAATATTTTTAAAAGGAAATATTGTAGAATTTCTACATTTAAGCGCCAACTTCTGTTACAAAGTATAAAATCATGAAGTAGAATATTATCTTGCAACTTTCTTTTCATATCGTAGACTTGACTTGAGATTATGATAAAGTAAACATATGGTATTCAATTCATTAGTGCATTAACATATGTTACATTCTACAGTAGAATTTAAATATTAATAATTTAATTGATAATTAAGTAGACTTAGATTATACGTTAATAACTTGTGACGTGTTGACTGTGCATACTATTTATGAAGATATTCTTAAATGTACTATAAAATGGAAATATTCTATAATTTCATACAAACGTCAACAAGTGTGCTATTATAATTCTCTTTTATAAAATTATGAAAGTGAAGTAGAACATTATCTTGCATCTCTCTTTTCATATCGTCGACTTGACATGAGAGCACGATAAAACAAATTTCATATAGTATCTAATCCATTATACAATTCATTATTGCATTTACATACGTTCGATTCTAAAAATTTAAATAATGATTTAATTTATTGATTAACATTTCTGGCATACGTGGAATTTCTTCTATCTCTGGTACTCCAGAGGATTTTCAGGTTCTCCGAGTATTGTGGCACGGGAAAAGAAGATATTAAACGACGGACTAATTAAATCTGCTTCTGTTGAAATAAACTTACCTATTTTGGAACCAGACTTGAACGACACGCATGTCGAGCCCTGTATCCTGAGATAGTTGCTCTCGCACGTGTCTCGCTGGCTTTGGGCTGGTATTGTACGCTAATTTCAATGTTTCTAGTTGCTTCGCCGTGATTGTTGTCCTTGGCCTTTTGTTCGGTTGGTCACCATCTATGCTCCCACCGTCCGCTAATTCTGTAATCCACAGAATGAACACATTTCGTATTTTCAAGATTTGCGCAACTTCGCTAATTAGTATGTAAAAGAGTCAGCAGATAAATTGACACTATAGGACGTATAAAAGTCAGCAGTCTAATTGACATTATTGATGTTATCAAATAGTATAATTTTGTCAATCGCAAATCTTTAATAATAATGCTGATGCTATACGAAAATGATACTTGTAATTATAATTTGAACCCTTATTACCTTTCGCTTTCGCCTGCTCATAGTCAGGTTTGCAAACGAGCTTCCTGTCCTCCATGAGGTAGAACTCGTCGCCGGTGTCCAGCTGCCGGGAACAAAGGGCGCACGAGAAACAAGTTAAATGGTAGACCAATTCTTGCGCCCTGCGCACGACCTGCGACGGCGCCAATCCTTGGCCGCAGCCCGCGCATTTTGTCCCGAACCGCCTGCCATACCAACAACATACAACATTTTCACATTACGTTCGCGTGTTAATGACAGCAACAAGTCGCCGTATCGCAGTGACACTGTCTTGGAGAAAAGTGCATTGAATAATGGAGAACGTAAAATTGCGGTAAACATTTGTTGATAGTTGATATTGTTTTCTATTTCTTTCAAATTTTCAGAGATACCGCAAGAAAGTAGAAACGCTTCTGAGATTAATTGAAAAATTTAATTCTGAATTAGCCACTCCGCGTATAAATCCTTCAACGAACTCGAACTTTTTATTGTTTGCGAAGGCGAGTTTTCTAGCTCTCCTGAAAACTCCGATTGCTAAGGGTAGGAACCTGATTGCTAAGGATAGGAACCTAGGGAGTGTGATTAGCGCATAATCAAAAAAAGAAGATATTAAACGACGGACTAATTAAATCTGCTTCTGTTGAAATAAACTTACCTATTTTGGAACCAGACTTGAACGACACGCATGTCGAGCCCTGTATCCTGAGATAGTTGCTCTCGCACGTGTCTCGCTGGCTTTGGGCTGGTATTGTACGCTAATTTCAATGTTTCTAGTTGCTTCGCCGTGATTGTTGTCCTTGGCCTTTTGTTCGGTTGGTCACCATCTATGCTCCCACCGTCCGCTAATTCTGTAATCCACAGAATGAACACATTTCGTATTTTCAAGATTTGCGCAACTTCGCTAATTAGTATGTAAAAGAGTCAGCAGATAAATTGACACTATAGGACGTATAAAAGTCAGCAGTCTAATTGACATTATTGATGTTATCAAATAGTATAATTTTGTCAATCGCAAATCTTTAATAATAATGCTGATGCTATACGAAAATGATACTTGTAATTATAATTTGAACCCTTATTACCTTTCGCTTTCGCCTGCTCATAGTCAGGTTTGCAAACGAGCTTCCTGTCCTCCATGAGGTAGAACTCGTCGCCGGTGTCCAGCTGCCGGGAACAAAGGGCGCACGAGAAACAAGTTAAATGGTAGACCAATTCTTGCGCCCTGCGCACGACCTGCGACGGCGCCAATCCTTGGCCGCAGCCCGCGCATTTTGTCCCGAACCGCCTGCCATACCAACAACATACAACATTTTCACATTACGTTCGCGTGTTAATGACAGCAACAAGTCGCCGTATCGCAGTGACACTGTCTTGGAGAAAAGTGCATTGAATAATGGAGAACGTAAAATTGCGGTAAACATTTGTTGATAGTTGATATTGTTTTCTATTTCTTTCAAATTTTCAGAGATACCGCAAGAAAGTAGAAACGCTTCTGAGATTAATTGAAAAATTTAATTCTGAATTAGCCACTCCGCGTATAAATCCTTCAACGAACTCGAACTTTTTATTGTTTGCGAAGGCGAGTTTTCTAGCTCTCCTGAAAACTCCGATTGCTAAGGGTAGGAACCTGATTGCTAAGGATAGGAACCTAGGGAGTGTGATTAGCGCATAATCAAAATGGAATTTAATTGTGACTGAATACGGTGATTGATCTCATTGAGATCGCAATAAATAATCTTTTTTTTCAATTCAAAAGGAATTTATATGAATATTCATTTTGCGAAACCCCATTTTTTCTCCTATCCAAACCTCAGTTAAATAGTCTCTTAATATATTGAATTTCTGATCATGTCTCTTTCGGAATCATTGAAATCACGCTATGAAATCATTCTACGACATAAAAAACAGAAAAGATATTTAGATGGCCTCCTATATCCGAGACACCCCGTACATAGAGGAGGGTAGGTCGAAGGGGAAGAAGAGTAAGTTCCTTCGATTCGACTCGCAGGAGAAGAAAAATGGCGTCTCATTCTCGTAGAGGTGTGGGTAGATGAGAAAAGGCACGCTTCCCTGACACAATCGATACCACCGTCTGGACATACGATTCTCGTTTGATCTAACTTTTTTCCCTCTACCGCGCTACCGCGTTTGCTTCTCCATTATTCGCCGCGAGCAATGCGAACTTCCGGTCGTCCAGGTAAACGTTTCACTGAGCGACAAATAGCGAACGATAAGCGCTTTATGCTTTCTTGCGCTATCTATATACAGATATCTTGTAGAAAAATCATATTTATACTACTTGTCATCTCGCTTACGTAATAAAGTATTGACTGTACAAAGTCTCGCGCGCAGTAGCGAAGTAAGACGTATTAAATAGATGAGAAGAAGCTCGTAACATATGTACAATGAATTACTATTCTGTTTTATAGTCTCGTGTTTGTTTAAAAAAATTTTAGAGCTCGAATTTTTTAGCGATGAAAATAATTTGTTGGTACTTACTTGAAGAAGTCGTCCTTGCAGAAGACGTGGCCGTTCCTCGCGAAACATTTGTCAGTCAATCGTGCACCGCAGTCCCGGCACGTGAGACACCTCGCGTGCCAACACCTTTCGAGTACCCTCAGAACGTATTTGTCCAAAATCGCTTCCTGGCAGCCTCCGCACTTTGGTATCGAAGCTGCAACATTTCAATAGCGGGATATGAAATAGGAACAGAACATAGAAGCTCCATATTTGCGAAATGAAAAACAGCTACGTTATTAATAAGACCTTTAGACTTCAAGTAGGGGAGAGAGTACTTTAATTATAAAATCGCAATGTAGTTTGTACAATAAGTATCGTGACTTATACAATAGAAATGTATACATCCTCTTAAAATTAATTTTACAAACTTGCAACCCTGAGTCACAACTTCCTTAGACATACTTAGTCCAAGAAGAAAGCTTTATTTACTTTTTACAATGTTCATTATATGATTTTCATAGAGTTTCTCAAGAATAAATCCGGAAGCAGAATTACGTTCCGAAAACTAGCACTTTTTGCAAAAATGCATGATTTTCAGAAAAAATGAGGTACTATTCATTTCTGTAGATGGTTTCTTTATCAGAAATGTCTAGAATCCAATCTCGTTTAGCAAATACCTGCTGGCCAAAGGGATTTTCATGTACATACAAAAATAGTACGTGTAAATTATTCGCGTCAGCTCTTTTTCAAACCTCAACAATTATTTACAATTATTAAAAAGTACGAAAAAGTGATTTACATGATGAAAAGTCTCTTCTATCTGTTGATTCAAAACTGAACTTCCTCACACCCTAAGTTCTCGTATAATACCTAATTTTCCCCCAAATCAGGCATTTAATGAATACTTTGCACAAGAATCCGCAGTCTAATAATTATAATAGTAATTATCAACCGAGTATTATAATATTATATGTAGAGACAATTATTATAGATAGAACATATAAGTATAATTATAAACGTGTTATCACCAAATTTACCACCCCTTTCAAGGCCGACAGGCATGAAATACTAATCATCGACCATTCTTTATATATATAATTATATTATAATTATTTAAGCTCTTTCCAAAGGAATCAGAAATTTTACCCCCTGGCTCAATACACACATTAAATCACAGACATCGTACATTTCAGTACAATAAATCCATCCGCAAAACCTCTTCTTTTTTTTGGTTACACTTTATTTATCACAGCTTGGACACTTTATACCAGCATTCACTTTTCCACGATTCGTCAGATTAAACTCACTTACAGTAGAGAATTTCAGGAAGAGTAACCGGCAAACCAAGGTCCACGGCCGGTTGATCGAGCGGGTGCATCTCGTGGCGACGAGAGTCGTCAAAGTTGGCGACGTCGGCAGCGTTCCCGACGTTACTGACGTTCCGTCGGACGTTACGGGACTCCGGGCTGTCATGTGGCGGCGTCAAGACGTCCTGACGAGCGCGCCGATACATCCCTTCCAGAGGCAGTGCCTCCCGGCCCAACATCTCCAAGCTTATCATAGTCATATTCACGCGTTTCAAATCTAACACGTTTCACTGATTAATCACTTTATACATTTGTATTTATAAACGTCAAGGAACTTGTTAATTTCGTATTTTAAGAACAGCTAAAATACCACACTGTAATTTTAAACTACTGTCCTCAAAGTTCTGTTTAAGATTGTATCGACGTGTGATTATTGTTAGGAACCAATTGTAGTTTTGCTTGCAATTTATTTTAATAAAATGCAGCGGCTAGTAGTTGTCAAATTCCACTGTTTCTCAATCGAACGATCTTTCCTACTAATAATTCCAAGTGCAGATCTAGTTAGTTTTTTAATTCTTCTTCCGGTCTTTTTCGAGCCAGAATAATGCTCGTTTATTAGATAGTTTGATGTCAACTCATGCACCATTTGATTAGAAATCACTGAATATTCGACCTCGATGATACGGAACAAGATAACCGCGCACGATAGACTGTTAATGTTATCAGTCCGTTGAACTAAGGTCGTCACAGATTACGAGACACTGACAGGTACCAATCGTCGACGGATGGAAAGGATCGTCGCAGGGAAACCGAAGCGGTCGGTACGAGGGTACGTGAATGACTGTTCGAACGATGTTGCAGCTGCTCGTGCGCACGTGACATTCGTGGGTGTGGCGGTTTTATAGAGGGGCATGGGTCACGAGCATTGGGTGCGGTTCGCACCCACGCATCTGACGGTTTGCCGCCGAGTGGAACCAGAGGCGACCGCCTCCAATATGGCGAGGGAACGTAGCAGGGAGCATCTCTCGAGCGAGCGAAACTCCGGTTCGGGGTGCCGTTGATGCGCTGTTGACATCGTGGCTATGCGTTGCAAGGACGAAAATGAAACTTCCAGAATACTGCAACCCTTGCCTAGCCATGTGCGAGCATTCATGATTCTGCCAAATTACGAGAAGATACAAAATAGTAGAGGCAATGTACTGAACGTTAGAACGATTCAGAAATATTCTTTAATAAAACGATTTATCAGATAATCGTACATAGTAATCTATAGTTAAGGGGTTGACTTCGATACGGGCGCGATAAGGCTGAATGTCAGTGTTACCCACTAAACTGATCGAGATGAACTGATGCTTGCAGAGTGTTGTGTGAGTGAATGATCGTTATCACTAACATTCTTTTGTGATACTCATTTCAAGAGTGGTCACAATAAGATATGTAAATAGAATTTTTACTTTGCCTGAGAAGGATTTTTGAACTGGAAGGAAAGGTCATATGATTTTTCTAATCAGGATTTATAACTCTGTGGAGTTGTCCTTCTTATTTCCTGTTTTCACATCCTACTGTGAAGAGTAGTCCTCAAATGATCTGTTGCAAGAGAAAATGCTACCTAGCTGCTGCTAATAAGTTGTTATTAACATTTCTAACTATTGGATATTATAAACAGATCAGGAGGAACTTTTGTGGTACCATTTCTTATAAAAAGGCCATTTACTATGTATTTTTCTAATTTTTTATTTGCGAATATCTGGTGGTAAACGAGAGCAATTATTTAAGACACAAATTATTATACCATAATTCCTTATTAATTATTTTCCGGTATTTGACTCTACATTCTTATTTCTTAGAGAATCGAGGCAAAATTAGTTTCAATGTTTGGTTTGAGGTACATTCTAGGGCAAGCTAGTGAGATTATGCTGATTATTTAATAAAATAAGTGAAGCAAAAATCGTATTCATTATGCTTTGGATTTTAAGTAATTTTATACCACAGAGAGACTGTTCTGAATAAAATAACGACTAGAGCGCTCTTGAATGTACTTTAAACTAAACATTGAAACGAATTTTCTCTTGATTCTCTGAGATTTCTACCTAACGTAGAAATATTCTTATAAATGTGTATTCCCCAGCAAATTTTACGAAGCTTCTAAAATAGATTGTTCTTAATTACAGATTGTCCCTAAAGTCTGAACACATAGGCAAAAATTCATATTTTGAATAAATACCTTTTACTCAATTGGGATATTAAATAAAGTCTTCAACATGATTTCCATCATGCGCGATGCAAGGGTTGATGCGTTTTGCCAAACTTACGTGTATTCTATGTACTAAATTCACATTATCGTCAATTTTATCAGCTGTGCTATTGCTACGTATTTAATCTGTGGAATAAAAGTAATTATATTTAATGAGATTTCCTATATGTCCAGATTTTAGGGACACCCTGTACAATTCAGATATTTTCCACGTTCTGCCGATATTCCCTGCACGCTTAAACAAGAACATTAATTCAGCAAAGATCCAAGATCCATATTAATCAAAAAAAGAAGCAAGGCTCCTTCAATTCGTGAGAGGAACGACAAACAGTCGCCTCCATCCGGGTTGCAGTGGCATTTTCTGCATTCCAGCGACGATCATCCGGCAACGTACCCACGGATATCCATCTGCACAGCAACACTGGCCACGGTTCCTCTATTCATCAGAATCGTCACGTAAAAGAATTCGCCTCCTCGGCCTCTCTTCGTCTCGAGTTCCTTTGGCAACATCTCGAAGAGAGCCGCTGTGCCGATTGCGAAAGCAAGCGCCGCGGAAAAGCAAAGAAGAAAGTGGGCGGGCTGGGCGTGGGTTGCGAAAAAGTAAGGAAAAAACGCTAGGAGAGAAGAAGGGAACGGCACGACGACGCAGCGGCGGCGGTGGCGGCGGCGGCGGAGAAAGCAGGCTGAAGGTAGGAGAGAGGACAAAAGGATTCGACCGAAATTAAGAACAGGCAAGTCGTGGGGGGGTGAGGGTCGCCATTTTATAATCTTAGTTGAGATCAGTCGTGTATACTCTTTTTCTCATCCCTGGCTGGCGAGCACAAGCGCGCGCCCATCTACGGCGAACCGAATAACTCGACCAGGGGTATAGGTCGGCGTATAAGTAGACGTATAGATGCGTCTACCACCATCAAACGGCACGCTTATAATACATATTTCTCTTTTTTTTTGTTTTTCTCGGTCGCACAGGGTAGTTAGTATCCTTCGCTTTGTCCTTATGTCTATAGCTTGTCCCTTTTTGGGTAGTAAGGAGAAAAATCTCACTGATTTGCCATCTTCGATTTTTATTACCAAACATTATACCTACATTCTGAAGTAATGCCCATAGGCTGTTCGGCAGCTGGAGGGCAGAATTGCAAAAAGTGATTGTAAAAGGCAAAATAAAATAGGATCATATGTATGTTAGCTGCAATTTTTAATCGATGATAACTAGAAAATGAAGCCTTGGACGCAATTCTTTTATTCTTGATTTTCGCCCTATTTTGGCTTTTATCAGACCTTAAAATTTTGCCCAGTAGCTGAACACACTGTATAACCAACGTATACATTCGACCGCTAAATCTGAGTGCATGCACTATTCCTAATTTATCACCGGCAAGGAAACGTGGTGCACCAGTATCGATGAAAGCCAGCCAGAAGGCGCAATGGCGCGTAACTAACAAGCGTTATTTACCGCTGAAAAAGTACGCCATACCGTGCGGCTGCCAAATCGCTCGCGCGCGGAATCATTTTTATTCGTTTCGATCGCTATAGGACGGGAGAACGCGCGCGTATAAATGATTTTATGGGCATGACCGACGCGTCGTCATGCATGCAAAGTAGCGAACCATCTGTTGACGTCGGCCCCGTCCGTGTCAGGTGGAAAATTGTACATTCTTCTTGCCGACGTGCGGGTAGGCGGAATCGATCGCCGATTATTATAGTACGGCAACGTGATCACAAACGCGATTGGGTAAATTCTTGGTTGCACGGCCATAAGCTCGTCTTGATTTCAAATAAATGCGTTTACGATTATTGAACATATTTTGTGCGATTTTCAGTAAATGTCTGTTCGATGTTCAATGAAACGATTTGAATATCTGTACGTGCTTGGAAATTTAAAGTAGTTCTGTTAAAATGCAAGCCATTTCAAATCACGGTGTAATGTATTCGGTCATACTATTCTACGCTATAATGGAGATCAAACAATGCACTATGCTAGCATCAGGATTGCAGATAAGTGATTAAATATTTAATTCAATTGAACAATTAGCAATTAACGTTGGGTTTTTTATTTGGACTTGGCTAAGCAAGAATCAAAATTATTTAATTAGAGATTAAAACGGTTCTATTAAAAAGAAAACATTGTAGTGGTATTGCTACGCTACAGGACTACTCGAAGCTATTCAAATGTACATCATTGTCGATAAAGGGACTAGGGTAGTTACATGACTTATCTAACATTTATTGGAAATTGTAAGAATGATTTGATTTGTCTCTTGTTTCAACACGTGCTTTAATGACAGTGCATGCGATAGATATAATTTGTAATACTGTCATTAGTATATTCTAGTACACGTGTCGTTTGCAGTTACTGTCGAACACCTCGACAACTTAAATGTCCACGAATTGAGAGATCGGCGCCGGTGGTCGCCGATATAACCGATACGAGCCTTGTTCCTTTCCATCGCGAAGGTCTATTATAAGAGGGTGTCTCTGCGATTGCGCGACCCTGTGATTTCCGTGGGCGTCCTCCTCGGGCTTCGATCACGCGAAACCCACCCTTCGTCGGTTCCGTTGCACATGTCGACACGCCTCCAGGAGTCGTTCGTCACCGTAAAAAGCTTCAGCGGACGAGGGTTTATCGCGGCCTATCCTCGAGGGTGGTGGTTCACTCGCCCACGGCTTCCTACTGTGCTGGCTCGTGGCAAGACTAACGACCATCGGGGCTGGGACGGAAAAAATAGGGGGAGACCTAGGTGGGTGAAGCAGGGTGCAACGCGAGTCCGTAACGCACGCATCCCCTAGCGCAGCGGTGCACACTTGACCCGACAAACGATGACATTCCTCTTTTTCATTTCGCTTCCTTCGAGGAAGGATATCGTAAATATCAGCCGGTGCTATGCTGGCTTCTGCCAGAGAAAGGTCAGGGGATGAGGGTCGGATTCGAATCATTATCGGCGCTTCTGCTATCTTCAATCCCTCCGGGGATGATGACTCTCTTCTTTCTTTTTTTCCGTTTCAGCCTCGATGCTGACATGCTTTTTTTTTCTTGTTAGTCCTGTTTTTTTCTGGGGCAACAGAGTGCTCGCGGTAACTATCGTTGTTTTCATGCCGAGGTTCATATTATTTTATACTCCAAAGAAATTATCATACACACCTCTTTTTTTTTTGTATACGATAAGTTGGAGTTACGTGGTTCTCATTAACATGATTTATTCACACTTCTGTTAATCAGGATTTGTGTGCTTTTTTTTATACGATTTTCATTTTCTCGGTACTCTTTCAGCGTATAAAAAAAGGATCAAGCATACTTAAACTATAATAGATCAGAAG